TTTTTTCTAATGAGAGAACATGGTACAAGTGAGCAACTTAACCCAGCTCAAACATAGTTTGTGTATCATTTTGTTTGCTTGATGTGACTGTGCTTGGAGGCTAGTATTGGCTGTATTACTTTGCCAGTCACTCGCACTGTATATCAACTAAACAGTAATGTAATTACCCAGCAAGCATTGTGCTGACTGGGGTTGCTTAGAAAGATGCAGCTATCTGGCAGTTTGAAGGTGGGGCAGAACATAAGGTTGTCCAATTATACGGCATACATCTCGCTGTGCTGTTTACCAGCGTATTCTTCGCGAACATTTGTATTCATCCAACACAATACAACAGGTATTGAAAATAACATGCCTACACACACCACTAGATTTTGAAAAGCTGCCAACCAGTAGATCATTTCCATAACAATTAGTGACCTATAAAATTTGACAACTGCAGTGTTTGACCAGTCACGTTACAGCACTCTCTGCACATTGTTTAAGATGGAATTGCTTCTTTCTCATTGTGTACAGGTATATTTCTCATTGCCACATGACCTCATGTTTTGCCCCAAGCAGTAAACTGAATACTGAGTAATTGTTTCACCATTAACTGTGTTCAGTTTTATATCCGTTCTTGTCATGTGGTTTTTTATCTGTATAAATTCCATAGAATGTATACTAATAGTAGACTGATGTTATTCTCAAGAACTAGAATTTTATTTAAATGGCTGTGCCTATTATGCAGCGTGTATTCAAAATACATGCATTGTTTACGTTGCATGGGACCCATATGATGATGTAATCATGATATCATTAAATTTATAAAATAAACAATGTATTTTATAGGTGTTGTAAATATGTTGCATGGACCATTACGATAACCACTGCCCATCCCATCCAATCCAAATACCAAAATCGTATCAATCCCACACGATGCAATAATGCCCAGATGGTAGACCATTTTCCTACGCCTTCAGCAAATAATACTGTTTTCTATGTTAGTAGTTAAAGTAAAGGAGTTGCAATATCCACTTGTCTTGGACAGCTGACAATGCCATATCAGCCTGCTTAGCTATAGACATGACAGCTGACCGTACACAACCGCTGAACTAATTGCCGATTGTGTTACCTAGTGCATAAGTTCAACCCATTAAATTTTATAGCTTGTCCAAATAGAATATTGCCTGCACAATGATTTATTCAACTCGTGGCTCCATTAAATTGAATTCAGCAGCATTTTTTATCTGACATGTACTGAAGTGTTCATATTCACATTGCTCAGTAATGAACCAAGCGTGTCAGTACATCCTAATAGACGTGTGATGTGAATACAAATGACAGATATGCAATTAAAGTGCCACAAAGACTCTGTGATTGCATCTAACGATCATTTCACTCATACTGAATTCATTAAAATGTATTATGATTTTCTTGTTGTTTAGAATATTGAAAATAATTTTGAATTTAATGATTTTGTTTGTGTTAAAAAGATTGTATTTAGTAAATCACAATGACATTGTCGGTCAGGATAGGGATTTTGACTGTGATGATCCATGAACTTTGTTTAGCAGGGATTTGTAAAATGATCTTGAATCAAATGCATGGTAACAGGATGTAGGATTCAATATTACCATGTGGTATTTTGTTGATTAACAAAACTATACAAAATATGGCCAATATAGAGCCTCCAATATGTCAGTCTTGTACGACTAAATGCTTTCTAGTTCTTGGTGTGCTGTACAACATACTACCTGGGAGTAGTGGGTATGTGTACTGCCAAGTGCAAGGCCACCTTCCATAGAACATATGCAATTCGTTTGAGGAATAGTATTTCCACATGACTATAATTTCACCATATGTTGTGGATTATAGCATAACTCAACAGATTATATTGAACACAGTAAATACCATGCACATTGCAGTTCTAGTATTCTCACACTTTGCATGTATAGCATTGCATGCATGTACAAGACTTCATATAAATATATACATGTACTTTATGATGAGGTGTTGTCTATTTATAGCTACCTGATACTGTCATAGTGTGTAGTACAGGAGCAGTAAAGCTTTTTTTCAAAGTTAAACAATTATCGTAGCAGTTAGTACAAATTTTATAAATGCCCTGAAGCTAAATCCACACTAATCAAAAAATTGATCATGACTATTGTATTGGCCGCAATGCAATGTATTCCTTTTCTGTCTGAGTTTATTGGGTCTGGTCCCATGAAATATATTTGTGTGTGACCTGTGTGAATTATTCTGTTAAATGAAGTAAATTCATTTTTTATTGGAATGGGGTTGTAAGTGAGTACCAGCTAGTATATGGTGGCCAACAACCAGGTGGTTAGAATGTTTATGCCTGGCATTCACGTCCATCTTGTTGATGTCAATCTGTATAAACCCTCTGATATTCAAATTATAAAGTTATCTCTGGACTTTGCATGGTGAAAAAAGAATGTGATACTACATTTGTATATAGTCACTAATTATTTGGAGGTCAATATAACCTCTAAATTCAGATGTTGTCGTGATTATCAGAACTTGTGTACATTTGGGGGCGGCAACACCAAGGAATGTATGTCATTTGTTGATTTAAAAACTAGTTACCGGTACTTTTTCTACAAAATCATTGTTTTGCACTTTTTTTGCAATAAAAAGTTGAAGTTGTCTGAAATAATATAATTGTTAAGACTTAAGTTGTGCCGTTTGCTGAAATACAATAACCTAGGGAGTCTACATTTTGACAGTAATTCAATACATAACGGCTGTCACATTAATGTGTTATGTGTAAAACATTGGATAAATTACTAAATCTGTATGGTTCATGTAATCTATTGCTGTGAATCATTTCCATCAGTTAGTCGTCATGACGACAGTTTAATTGTACTCTACATAGTTTTATTATTGGTGTATGACAAATAAACTCTTTTCTCATTAATACTTAGACACATCTTTGTCAATTTAATAACATTTTATTGCTTTTGAATTTTGAAACTTGCTGATGTGGGTGATATTCAATACCACCAGTATTTGAATTATTTCTTGAACAACTTTTCATTGCAATAGCTTTTGTCCAATTATAAGATCGTACTAAAAATAGAACTGACAAAATCACAGAACATGATACAGTGCATGATACAGATCAAATGTGGACATGTGCGGACTTATCCCAACTTAGTTACTTTCAATCTCAACTTAGTTACTTCCAGTCCCAACTTACCGGTAGTTACTTCCAATCCCAACTTACCGATAGTTACTTCCCATCCCAACTTGGTTACTTCCCATCCCAACTTGGTTACTTCCCATCCCAACTTGGTTACTTCCCATCCCAACTTGGTTACTTCCCATCCCAACTTGGTTACTTCCCATCCCAACTTGGTTACTTCCTATCCCAACTTGGTTACTTCCCATCCCAACTTGGTTACTTCCCATTCCAACTATTTCCAATCCCAACTTGGTTAC